TTGAGAGAAGTCAGGCAGGAACTCAGGGCATGAACCTGGAGGCAGGAACTGAAGGACAGACCACAGAAGAACGCTGTTTATCCGCTTGCTGCTCTGGTCTGTGCTCAGCCTGCTTTCTTAGACAACCCAGGACCACCAGCCTAGGGGTGGCACTACTCACAGTGGGCTGAGCCCTTCTACATCAATCAACAATCAAGAAAATGACTCACAAACACACTCACAGGCCAATCCAAAGGGGAAATTCCTGACTGAGATTCCCTCTTCCCAGATATGTCAAGTTGGCAATGGACTCCAATCAACCACTGACAGACTGCTTCTCCAGGGCTTTATAAAACTAGACCAAAGGCCTGGGAGGCTTCTCTTCTAGAGGCCAAGCTGTGAAACATAAGTCTGCAACAGTCAGAAGCTGAGAGAGAGGAAGCTAGCCTGGGGTACTTCCCAGAGGAGGATAGGGGAGAGACCTCACAAACTGGTCCTGGGCACAGCAAACAGCTTGGTCCCCAGCAGGATCACAACTAGAGGGAACTAGGCTCTGGATGGGTTGTTCCGCGTGGTCCTCACCCATCTATTTAGATGAGACCTCCTTAGATTTTTGAGTTGATGGAATAAGTTTTAGGAAATATTAAGCTTGGATAAATGTAGTTTTACATGAGAAGGATATGAACTGTGGGGCTCAGAAGTAGAATGCTATGACCCAAAGTGTCATCTAAATACAGGTGCTGAACAGCCAACTTGATACTACCAAAGGGTGGCACCTATCAGAGGTGATTAGACCATGAGGGGTCCTCCATTGTGAATGGGGTTAAGGCCCAAGAAATCAGATGGGAAAAATCCCATTTGCATTATTTTTTTAAACACAAAAAACTTAGAGTAAACATAATCAAGGAAATAAAAGACCTCTTCAATGAAATTTTTAAAACACTGTAGAAAGAAATCAAAGAAGACACTGGAAGATAAAGACTCCCCAATCTTATGGCTAAGTGGAATTAATATCGTACCAATCTGTATCAATCTGCAGATTCAATGCAATCTCCATCAAAACTGCAATGATATGGGGATGGAGAGATGGCTCAGTGGTTAAGAGCACTGGCTGCTCTTGCAGAAGATCCAAGTTCGGTTCCCAGCACCTACATGGCAGCTAACAACCATCTGCAACTCCAGTTTCAGGGGACATGACACCTTTGCACACACAGGTGCATTTACACGTAGGCAAAACACTCATACACATAAAAATAATCAAAAAATTAATTTCAACAATATTCTTTACAAGAATAGAAAAACTAACCCTAAAATTCATATGGAAGCACAAAAGACCTCCAGTAAACAGAACAATGCTGAGAAAGAGCAGTGCTATAGTTGTCACCACACCCGATTTCAAGTGACACCGAAGAGCCATAATAATGCTAGCGTGGTACTAGCACAAAAGCAGACACATAGATCAATGGAATAGAACAGATGACCCAGATATGGACCCACACAGTTGAAACTGTCTGAATTTTATCAAAGGTGCCAAAAACACCCACTGGAGAAAAGACTGATTCTTCAGCAGCTGGCACAGGGAAAACTGGATATCCACATATGCACCCAAAAAAAGAATAAAACTAGACCCCTGTCTCTCACCCTGTACAAAAATTAATTCCAAAGGGATCAAAGACCCTTGTCATATAAGTCCTGAAACTATGCAATTGTTAGAGGAAAACAGGCAAAACACTTCAAGACACAGGCACACACACGGACTTTCTGAAAAGAGCTTCAGTAGCTGAGGACATGAAACCAAGATCTGACAAATGGGATCCCACAGAAGCAAAAAGCTTCTGCACAACAAAGGAGACATTAATCGAATGAAGAAGCAGTCGATAGGATGGGAGAAGATTTTTCTAGCCAAATGTCTGGCACAGGATTAATATCTAGAATATATAAAGAACTCAGAAAACTAAATGCCAAAAAATTCCGATCAAAAAATGGGATAATACATAAATATATCATTCTGGAAAGAAGTACAAAGGGCCTGTGAACATATGAAAATATGTACATCATCCTTTTCCATTAGGGAAACACAGATTAAAACTACAGTCACCCATCAGAATGGCTATCATCAAGAACACAAATGCTAGTGAGGGTGGAGGGAAAAGGGACCCTTGTACACGCCTGGTGGGAGTGTAAATTAGTCCTGTCACTATGGAAATCAGCATGGAGATTCCACAGAAAGCTGAAAATAGACTACCACATGATCCAGTTATACCACTCCTGGGGTATATGTTCAAAGGTCTCTAAGGCAACACACCCCATGGATATGCACACCTGTTCATTGCAGTAGTATTCATGGCAACCAAGTCAGAGTCAGCCTGAGTGTCAACAGATGAATGGATACAGAAAATGTGGTTTATAGACACAACTGACTTTTACTCAGCCATAAGGAAGAACACAGTGACGCTGTTTTAAGGGAAATGGATGACGCTGGAAATCAGCATACTAAGTGAAGTAAGTCAGGACTCAGAAAGACAAATTTGCACGTTTTCATTTGTTTGTGAATCTTGGATTTTATGTGGGTACATAAAATTACATATATGAAATAATGTTATATATGCATATATGACATGAGAGTTGAAGCAAGACGGGGAAGGGAGAATTGTGGGAGATGGAGGGAGAAGGGAAGGTATTGGGGTTGAATAGGTCAATGTTCATGATATACAGGCTTATGTCACCCATCACTATATACAATGAAGATATGAAAAAAAGTTACACGATTATACTAAGTGGTAGAGTTCTTGTTAGAATTCTGAAGGCCGGTCACCAAGATGGCTCAGCCACTGCAAGTTGTCCTCAAGCCCACAAACGTGATGTAGCATGTGTACACTCACACACATACACACGTATGCATACAAAATAAAATGTAAAAAGAAATCCTCAAGGGCCTGGGTTTGCTCCCCAGCACCACACACACACAAAAAGTCAAAAGCAACAAATGACAAAAGGGGGGGGCTTTATCCAGTGTTTGGCTCCCTTACCCTTCTGCTCTGTAGGAACACAGCATTCCTCCCCATCCACAGGACAGGACAACAGGCGCCATCTTGGAAGAGGAGAGCGGTCCTCTCCAGACACCAAATCTATGGGTACCTTGGCCTAGAACTTCCCAGCCTCCAGAACTATAAGACATAAATTTCTAATCCTTATAAAATTTCCAGTCTTGGGTATTTTGTTATAGATGCACAGATGAAGACAATATCTTTCAGGTGCTCTGAGCTGGTGCTTGCTACCAAAAACTCTGACTCAAACAGCCCATGGCCCCTCAGAGATGGATTCCCATGACCTGAGCACCTTGCCCAACCCAGAGAGACCTTAAGGGACTCCACAAGGAATGCAGGTCTTCATAGAAAAAGGTATAATATTCACATGGACCATGTATTGGCTGACAAGAAGCAACTTACAGAGGAAGCAGTTATTTTGGCTCACAGTTCAAAAGAATACAAGCCATCATGGTGGGAAAGGCAACAGCCACCAGAATGTGAGGCAGCTGGTCTCACTGCATCACAGTCAGGAAGCAGAGAGTAGACAGATGGGAAATGGGACCAGACCATAAAACTTCAAGACCCACCCCCAATGACCTACTTCCTCCAGCAAATAAACAGTGTCACTAGCTGGGGACCAAGTGTTCAAACACAGGAGCCTGTGGGAGATAGTTCATCTTCCAGCCCCATCTCTAGACTACACGAAATACCTGATACAATGTAAATGTTAATCCAGTTGTTGTTAGATGATGTTGCTTAGAGAATAACTTAAAAACTCTGAGCATGTTACAGTGAAGGTGTGATTGTTAAAAAGGACTTTTGACTGCAGTCGACTGAACCCATAGATGTGAACCTCCATGGAGTTGGAGGACTGGCTGTGGCCGCCTTCTCACCTCACCTGCACACTACCCGCTCCTCACCCACTTTTTCTCCCTTGTACAAATCACTAACATACTGTATTTCTCTCTTTCTCTCTGGAACCACCAAATGCACTCTGCCTCCCAGGGCAGTGTTTCTCTTTGCCCACTGCTGTGTGCTGTAGCTAGGACCCCAGAGGACCCCCCCTATACACACTTGTTGAACAGTGATCGATAATACCCTGACAAGTGGGCTGTTCTAAAAATACTAGGTTTGGGTTGGCTGCTGAGAAGCAGCCCTTTGATGCCCAGGAGGATCTCCAGGCCCGGGAATCACAACTGCAAAGGCCCTGGGACAGCAACAGCAGCGAGTGTGGGAAGTATTTGAGGGTGGTGGTGAGGAGTTTTGAAGCTAGCCGGCCTGGAATGTCTTCAGAGGGTTTCTGTAGGACAGCAAGCTCATCCCTGGCTCCCCTGTGGATAAGGCAGTGCCGGGGAGCAAAGTTGCAGGAGGGACTCACACAAGAGGCCCTGGAGACAGCCTGGTCAGGGTGACAGGACAGATAGGGACAGGCAGCTGGGTGGGCTGGAAACAGACAGCTGTCAGAAGCAGGCAGTGGCCCCTATTCAGGTTCCTCCTCCGCTGCCAGCTGGCCCAGCCCTTTCTTCTAACCCACCCCCTTCATGTTTCCAGCAACACAGCCTGGAAGTGCTGAGAAGCTTCTGGAACCTCTGTAAAATGGCGGAACTCAAGACAGAGCTTCACTGAGGAAGGGCCATGTTTAACCGTGAAAGACTTTTCACACAATAGCCGCAGGGTTCCACCACACTCAAAGTCCTTGTCTGTGCCAGAGGGCAGTGCCCAAGCAAAGGCTTGAAGTTACGGCAGAAAATAACAGCAAAAACCCAGTCCAGGCTCCTCCTGGGAGGGAGCAAGGGGAAGAGCCCGACTGGGGAGGGTAGAGGAGGAGAAACCCAGCTGGGGGAGGACTACAGGGGAGGAGCCCAGCTGGGGAGGAGTACGGGGGCGGGGCGGGGGCGAGCCGAGCTGAGGAGGGGAAGGAGGGAGGAGCTCAGTTGGGGGAAGAGTGCAGAGAGGGAGAAACTCAGCTGAAGAAAAGTACTGAGGGTACATGGGGGAGGAGCCCAACTGGGGACGGAGCAGAGGGGAAGGAGCACACCCCAATGGCAGGGTGGGCTACTGAGCCCGGGAGAGGCTCCTGCTAGCTGATGTGTGAGCCCCACCCAGTTCAGCAAGGTGAGCCTCCTGTGACTGCAGCAAGCAGAGATGCTACCTACTCCTCCTGTTAAAGCCACAGCCAGGCCAGGACCAGAGCACTCAAGGCCACAGGGAGATCTAGAAGCAGGCTCCTGGAAAGCAGGAAGACGCCCATCACCATACTCATTTAACCCGGAGTCACCCACTTCCTGTCCAGAAACAACCGCATCCACAAGGTAAGGTGGTGATTAAAGTCACTCAGAGAAGCGTCTTTATACTTTTCTCCCAGGACCACAAAAATGCCCCACTTTGCGTTTATATAACCGAGGGAGACCTTCACTGCAGAGCAAAGGCGATGTACCCAGAGGAGCCTGGCGCGCCGCAAAACAGCCTGCAACTTCAGAGAGAACAAACACAACTCGTCCCCACAGGGTACCTCTCTGGTGAGGCACCTGTGCCAAGGCGGGCAGGTGTTTCAGCATGTGACCAGGCAGGGAGGGGAGCCGGCTTTTGAACGCCTTGGGCCTGAAGCTGTAGAGGCTGGCGATGGGAGCGGGGGCGGAACTCAGCCAGCCTGAGGTTTGGTGACATCCTGGGAGGACTTTGGTCGGGAATTCGAGAGAGGGATGGCATGTCCTCAATTTGACCACAATTCTCCAATTTTCCGGGACAGAACACTCTAGATCCGGTATGAGTGTGTGGGAAAATATTTGTATCCACTTAGGCTGGTGAGCGGCCGGCGTTCAGAGGAGAGATGCCAAGACTTTGGAAGCTGGACCAGGATGTGGGACAGGAGATGGACCCAGGATGCTTCCCAATTAAGGGTCCACAGGGGACAACCAACGCCTTCGAGCATGTGTAGCCTGTGAAATGTCAGGGGCAGTGTGGTCACAGGGAGATTAGGGAGGCATCAGCTGGATAAAGGTACTTACACACACATACACACACACACACGCACACACACACACCCCACTCAGGCTGTGATTGTGTAGAGGGGGAGGGGAGCCAAGCCTGAGAAGCTAGCAGAAGGGGGAGGAGCCCACCTGAGCCAGGTTGCCACTGTCCCCTGACATCCCACACACTAATGGTGCTTGAAGGCCCAGGCTCATTGGATGGGTGGTAAAGACCTGGAACTTCTGGGGAGGATCCCAGGCAAGTCACCAAGGCACACAGATGGGCTTGTGACAGAGTCTAAATGGAAACAAAGATCTTCTAGGCCCAGCCACTGGCATTCGGTGCAGGATGAATGTGAAGAGATGGGGCAGCACTGCACAGCCTCCCAGCCAGCCCTTGACACCAGGAAGCACCAGGAAGAACATCAGACAAGCCATGTAGCCCCTGAGACCTGGTGTAGCTTTGAGGATGGAGGGCTCAACACAAGTCAGTGGTTGCTCAATCCCTCTGGCCACTGTAACGCACATTTTCTTATCTGCTTACAGGTGGAAATGACACCCAGCTTACAGCAGGATGGCGAGGACAGATGTTGTCATAAATCAATATGCCTGGTGCCTAGGGCCACTCATCAACAGCCTCCAGTACCACCAGTGTTCCTACCTAGCCCCTCTAAGATCTGCCCAACTCCTATGTATTTGCCCAGCATCCTAGTACTCCCTCCATACCTGGAACCCATCCCTTCAAATCCCTGAGGAAACCTGCCTATCACTTCCAGGTCCTACAAGATGAATAGATTCCTTAGCCTGACGCTCGAGGACTGGGTCCAGCCTGGACCATCGAGAGCACCTTATGTCTCCTGTCCTCTATCATGACTTGCATTTGAGCCTTCTGTGTCTCTGACTAGGCTGCTGGGCTGTGGAGGACCCATGAGGGAGACAGGAGTGTAGAAAGAGCTTGGGCTTCAAGGGTTCAGACCTGGGTCCTTCTTCACTAAGACCTGATGTTAGAGGCAAACAGCTCGATCCCTGACAGGTGGGTTTCCAACTGCTTCCTCTGCACTTCATACTGTCCATTCCTTTCCCCCAGTTTCCTTCAACTGGGCAGAATCAGGAAACTGCACCTAAGACATTGAAAGCATGATGTGTCCCTGGTCCTCAGAGATTGCTACAGCAACTTTAGTGAGTTAATGGGTCTAATCAGAGTGTGTCTCAGGGTTCCTTGAATGGAATGTCCCTCTGACTTATGGAAAAGGTGCTCAGGAAGGGGTTGCTCTCCTCCAGGGTGAACTTGAAGTGGGAGTGAACGAAATGGTCAGGGAATTGATGGTTAACATTAGTTGTCAACTTGACACAACCTAGAGTCAATGGGGAAGAGAGTCTCAGTGAGGGGCTGTCTACATTGGGCTGGCCTGTGGACATTCCCAGGGTAGGGGTTGTCTTAATGAAGTTAATCGATGTAAGAAGACACAGCCCACTGTGGGCAGCACCATTCTCTAGGCAGGGGGTCCTGGACTGTGTAAAAGTAGAGAAGTTGAGCTAAACACAAGCAAGTGAGCACACTTGCACTGAGCTCTCTCTGCTCGACTGTAGATGAGATGTGATCAGCTGTTTTATGTTTGCTGCCTCAACTTCCCTGCTGTGATAGTCCATGACCTGGAATTGTGAGCTTTCTCCTTTAAGCTGCTTTTTGTCAGGGTATTTAATCACAGCAACACAAAATGAAACTAGGACACTAGGCTAGAATAAATCCTGCAGCAGAACCAGGAGAATCCCAGAGGACGTCGTTTCAATGACTGGATCAAACCTTACCTGCAGCCAGTGCTGGATTCACCAGTAACATGAGCCATTAATTCCCTTGAGGGTTTAGGTGAGGTTTTCTCCCCTTGCAGTGTAAATGCCTAGTGGACAGTGTACCCTGAGCTTGAGCATCATAAGTTTGCAGGTAACTGTACCCAGTCTTCGATAGCCTGTATCTTCTCTGCCCATCCACTCCATCTGCTTCCTTGTTTCTTCAAGACAGAGGCCACATCAAGCACTTTGCCTACTTAGAACCCTTGTATGGTGAACCCAACACACACTAGTGCTCAAACACACGGACCAAATTAAAAGTTGCTCCAGGACACACTCAATGTGCAATGCAGAAGAGGGTGAGGACATCCCCATCCAGTTCACATACCAGTTCCTAGAGAATCCCTCACTGCCCAGGAAAAGATGAAGGTACTAAGAGGATTTGAAGAAGAGAGAGTTTAGGGTGCATTAATTTGAAGGTGATCCTTTCCATACTGTGCATGATCCACCTCCAGGGAGGTCATGCGGGCTGCCACCTCCTTCACCTCCAGTCTAATGTTTCCATGGGATCGTGTGGAGGCCTTGGACACTGAGGACAAGTGTCAGCTGACTCACTGCCATGGGAGCAGATTCTGGAGGGGTCTGGTGCCCTGGGAACCGCCTCCCCCTCAGTGTTCCTTGTCTCCCATGAGAGGAGGAGACTGAGTCAACTTTCAGGTGGGAACCAGAAGCTGAAAATGCCAAACATAGAATGTGTGGTGCCGGGGGGCGGGGGGCGGGGGCGGCGCTGTGGGTGGTCCGGGCTGGACATGGTCCTGGAATAACTTTCCCTTAATCTCATAGGACATGGTGAGTGATGGGCAGTTTTTAGAAGGACATGAAGGTCTGGAGGGAGCACCAGGTCTCTGGGAGAATGGGCAGGAGAGCTCTGGTGGCACTTGAGAATGCAGACCCAGCTCCCTGGATGCCAGGCACTGGCTGAACACTGTAGATCCACCTGCATGTTGTTTCCTAACCATTGTGCTGTGAGCTAGGGTTCCTCACCATCAGTGAACAGATCCCAGGGGCCCTCAGCCTAAGATGGATAAGGATACTCAACAGGGAGTCTGTATGCAGAAACTTGAAGGAAAACAAGAACATGAAGCTGAACATGCATTTTTCTTATGTCACCTGCCATGAGACTCGCCATTTTCTTATCAACTCAGAGGAGGTGATGACCCCTTGCTGGAGAGGCCTGGCAGAGAAGAAGCCATATCATTAGTCTCATTGAAGCTGCAGTTGGAAAAGTCTGTCATGGTCTTGCAGGACCTTGAGGGAGGGGTTACTCACAAGAGCACAGGTAACTAACAGGCAGCTATACCACTAAGAGCCTCCTCCTCCCAGACATTGTCAACCACGTTCATACCTTCTTGTGAGTGTCACATGTGACAGCTGCTGGGATTTCAGGACAACCATGGCCACATCATGCCCAGAGTTCTACAACACCACCCACCCAGTTGTATTGTGGTCTTCCTTATCCTCCATCAACTTCAGGCTGAAAATATTGAACGGACACCTCTAGAAATATCTAGAAACTTCTAGAAACAATCCCAAAGTTTAAGATAACTTTTTTGCACTGTAGTATAACTATTCTATTTTAGTTATTGCTAATTTTTTACTGAGTCTAATTTATAAATCTAGCCTTATTGTAAGTATGTATGTATAAGGAAAAATATATAGTATATGCAAAGCCTGATACTGTCAAAGGCTTTGTGATTCCACTTGGGGGTCTTGGAATATACCTCCTGCAGATAAGGCGGGGGACAATTTTCTTTCAGCTATATTTATTTTATTATTTTTATTTTATGTGTATGAGTGTATTGCCTGCATGTATGTGAGTGCACCCGTGTCGTGCAATGCTGTGGAGGTCAGAAGAGGGCTTTGGATTCCCCTGGAACTGGAGTTAAGGATGGTTCATAGCCGCCATGTGGGTGCTGGGAATCGAACCTGGGTCCTCTGCAAGAGCAGTCAGTGCTCTTAACCGCTGAGCCATCTCTCCAGCCCCTCAGCTGTATTTAAATGTGCCCATCTCCAGCACTCTCACAACACTGAAGTATTGAACAAACTCCTTTCTCGTTGGCTTTAAACACCTGGTTCTGGAGAATCAGACTTATACCCAGTCCTTCTCCTCATCCTCACTTTCCCCTCCTTTGTGAAGCTCCCCATTTCCCAACTGTGGAGCTTTTTATCTTAGTTGTGTCCCAGTTTGTTTACGGAGCTTCCTTTACTTTGCTGTTATCCTGCCACATTGCTGGGTCAGAGCAATGGCTTCGAGGGTGGCAGTCTGAGTTCAAAGCCAGTAACAGTGTGCTCCACCATGCCAGGCAAGGTCACTACCTCCCATAGAGTCCAGAGCCTCATCCTTAAAGGGGAAACACAGACTGTCCCCAACTCGTAGTGGTTCAACTTAGGATATTTTTGCCTTTATGGCATTGCAAAAGCAATACACAGTCAGTAGAAACCGTACTTTGAATTTTGAATTTGGATCTTTTCCCAGGCTAGCAAGATGCAGTGTGATCCTCTCTCCTAGGTGCTGGAGAACAGCAGCAATCTGTGGCTCATAGTTAGCCCCATGATCACAAGGAGAAACAGCCAATACTCTACACACAGGCGTGTCCAACATATGTCCTGCAGGCCATATGAGACACAGGATAGCTGTGAATTCAGTCCAAACATTTGTAGATGACAGCATCGTCTTGTAAGGTCAAAGGGTTGGACACTCCTGCCACAGTGCACTGCATGGCCAGCATTTTTTTGGCTACACTTATTCCATAAATTACTTGAGATATTCAACACTTTATTATATGATATGCTTCATGTTCACTGCTTTTGGCTAACTGTAAGCTAATGTTAAGTAATTCTACAGCAAGCTAGGCTGTGATGTTCAGTGCACTAGGCATAATGAAATACATTTTGGACTTAAGAATATTTTCAACTTATGATGAGTTTATTCAGACATAAACCTGTCATAAGTCAAAGTGCATCTGTAGTTATGGGTTGACATGAGCTCTTTGCACAGTTATGGGTCTAACTCATAGCAAGCACTTAAGCCCCTCCATTACATTGCTACTAACATGGCTGTTCTAATTTCCTTTCTGTTGGGCTGTGATAAAAGACCAAAAGTTGACCAAAAGCAACTTGGAGAGAGGTACCAGAGGGAAGTCACACAGGGAAGTCACAAGGCGGGAGCTTGAGACAGTCACATCACAGTGATAGTCAAA